AAAGAACTATGTTTTAAGATGAAGTTAAATTTTTTTCTTGTGTTACTAGCCAGTGATAACAGCAATAGGAACTAAGGTCTAGGAATTACTTAATCCAGGCAACTTTCGGGAAACCATGTGGAAAATTTGCATATATCACTGCAATTCTGGAACTCAACCTGAAAAATTTCCTCTTAGTCAAGGCTTTTGTGCAGGGCTAAGAATCTGAGTGTTGATATCAGAGAGCTCAGGGTTTGAAATCTGCCTCCTGATAGCTTTTTGATATCCTCCAAGCCATATAATGGTAGTACTGCTGCTAACAATAAAAACGAGAATAATGTGTATTGAATTACTATATGCTAAGCAGAGTATTTGCTGTGTGTGTGTGTGGTAATGGGGATTAAATCCAGAGCCTTCACACTATTCATTTTTGCTGCCCTGGAGTTGCTATTAACAGCGACAACATTGTCAACACCATAACCATTATTGTCCATGAGGGTAACATTAGTCCATTTCCAACAAGAAAAGTTAATGCATCTGTCTTCTTTGCACACATATTTCTGAGAACAGAGTGAAACCACAGTAACTAGGAAAGTCTAGTAACATATCTGCAGTTTCAGCAGGGCCAACCAGTGACTCAGGCTCTGTCCCTATGATGACAAGAGAGCCCACCTTCAGGCAGTGTGCGCCAACATGCCCCAGAGGTAAGATAGACAGCCCTTTCCTTCGGAACTACTGGGGTACAGCCCCGAATCAGAACTCAGCCCATCCTATGGGTTCTTGTGTCTTTGTTCCCACAAGAAGATCTTTCCAGGGTCTACCTGGTGTGCTACCTGGGACTCTGTCCAGGCAACTTTATGGAATGTTCTGGTCCTATAGCATCCGGTGACATCTTAGAGCTGTGGCTAACCAAGAATCTCAGTGCAGAATCGATTTATCCAAAGCGCACTCTCACTCAACAGCCCTCCCTTGGACTAAGAACTATCCTCCCAACACTAACAGCTAACTGAGAGCAGTGTTACAAATTACAAGTGGCTACTTACGAGCTGACAGACTGGGTGTGTACATGGTAAAGATAGACATTTATGCTATGGGAGTGCTTGTAGGCCAAGGTAGAGGATGCAACAGCTGCCATCCAAAGCCTCCCGGGCACCGTCTAGTCAGACAGCATCTGATCTGCAGAGGAGCCAGCTGGTTGTCACACAAAGTCCTCACCTCACACCAGGCGGGTAAGCAGAGGATGCACAGTGCTACATCTGCAGCACCTTCTGCTTGCTGCTCTGTGGCCACAATGGCTCCAAGTCCTTAGCTAGCATTTTACACAATTCTTAAATATCTCCCAGGCTAAAACTCCTGTTCATAAAGCAGTGTTCTCAACGTGTGGAGGTTTACCTGCATCAGAATCACCCAAGTGCTTGCTAGAAATAGAGATTCTTGTGCACTTTTGTATATTTGTTAGTTTATTGTTTGTCTCCCATGTAAGAAGCCCTGGAGAGCTGAAACTATTCTGTCTGCCCTGGTACACCAGATCCCAGACAATATTTGGACATAGTTAAGTATTCAGTAAACGTTTGTGGAGTGATTTAATTCTTCAACCCTAGACTGATCTGTGAATCAAAATCCCTAAGAATGAGGCCCAGAATTTGCATGTTAAACAAATACTTAAGTACATTAAGTTTTAAGAACTAGTGAGTGCTCCAAAGTAATTTGGCCAATTCTAAGATCAAAAGACAAAAAGTTTTGTCCCCAAATGCAGTCAGTTAAAATTAAGGGAAATTAAGTATATTAATATCCTCTGGTTAAATTTTTCCTTCTAGTTGCTCACCTCCAGCTAATGTCTTTCTGCCATCTGCCTCTCCCAGGATCTGAGCTCCTCGGTGGACAAAACACATTCAGACTTGGAAGGGAGGGTGCCTAGGAAAGACTGGGGGCACACCTGCCTCTTCTCACTGCCAGAAGCCACCAACCAGTCTTATTTCATGACAGACCTGTTCCTTTTGAAGCAGTGAGGACCCCAGACAGACCACTCTTAACAAGATAGATCAAAAGTGGCTTTTAATGCCAGCAGCTCAGCGAGAGACTCCTGTCGGTCTCGAGAGCCCTAAACAGAAGTTTGCACTTTTTATAAACCCCTTTTTACATCTATGAAGCTTAATTCCATTGGAGTTTCCCTGGGAATAGAGCAAGCAGGATTTACACAACACAGAGCAGTGGAGGAGGAGAGCAAAGAGTTCTGGCAGGACTTTCTGAGTCCGTTATGCTTCTCCAGTGCCAGAGTACAGAAGTTGTCATGGCTGCTCAGGTGCATTCTACAAAGAGCACAGTTACCCAGTTAACCCATAGTTGCCCAATTCCATATTGGGGGGGGGTCTCCTCTTTCAATCCCTCCTGCCCAAACTCATTGATAGAGAAATGAAAGCGACCATCTGTTTATTTCTGCTTCCCACACAGGCTTGCATGACCTCTGATTCGTGAAAGCCACGTATTATGTTATCTTGACAGAGCCCAGCACCTGGCTGAGTGGTGTGCACCTGGGATCCCAGATCTAGGAGGCTGAGGCGAGAGGGTCACAAGTTTGGGCCCAATCCGGGCTCCTCAGAGAGATCCTGTCTCAAAGATTTAAAAGGGTGGGGCTGGAGATGTAGCTCAACACAAAGACCTTAAGTTCAGTTCCCAGTACCCACCCCCAACACGCAGCATCCAGTCTTCCTGAACACATTTACTGTGTGCTTGGTCCTTTCAGGCTTGTCCTGGGAGCTCGGTGTTTTATTTCTAGTTACGATCCATCTTTTACCAGCAATAATTTCTCTTGAGAAAGGTACTTGGTTTGGGTCATCACTTTACCTCTGAGCCCTTTCGCTGCTTTGAAAAATGAGGTTAAACTAGAATCACGGCTCCACATTCTAATGTAACTTCTGACTTCTCCATGATTCCTTGCCCCTTACAGTTATTATTATTTTAGTATATGTGCTGCTGAAGCGAGCACGCCCCTTACAGTCATTAACAAAATCTCTTAATGTGATTAGATGCACAAATACCAGTTGTCAAGCTCGTCTACCCATATTCTCTAAGCTGGTATAAACTAGGTCAGTTCAAGATTTGCATAATAATTTCTAAGAAGTTTCCTTCCCGAGTTTCATGTTTACCTGCAAAAGTAGTATGGCACTGGGCATGGTGGCACACGCCTGTAATCCCAGGATTCTGGACAGCTAAGGTCAGGGGATCGCAAGTTCATGCTCAGCCAGGGCAATTTAGCACTTTAGGGAGACCTGCCTCAAAACAAAAATATAAAATGGGGAGGCTGGGGATGGAACTCAGTGTGGAGGCACTAGGTTTAGTCTTCATACTGGGAAAAAACCTGTGGCAATTTTAATGTGCTGAAAGCTGTACATAAAAGACAAACATAATATCCTACCAGAATATCTTCTGTAAGATGAGCATTTTGCTGACCTTAGGGCTGGAGGGCTGCCTGAAGTTGAACCTTACTGCTTTAAGGGAGCCCCACAGGCCAGGAAAACTCAGGGAGAAAGGGGCTTTCTAGGGCTCCTGCCCCAGCTGTCACTCTCAGTGAACCCGCCAGGCCCTTTGCTCCATTCCACCTGGACAAACTAATCACTGGGCCAGTCACTGCCACTGTAACTGCATGTGAATTGTTTCTCTTTGGAAAATACCTTCACCTAAATCAGTGGTTCGTATGCTTCAAGGTTTAATGTCTCCTTTATATTCCTGCTCTTTCGTTGCACCTCCTTTCTAGGCCTGAAAGGAAAATGGCAGAAAATATAACTTACCTACTCACTCTATAATGCTCAACTTATTTTTAAAAATGAAAAGTTAGGGAATTAATTTGTGACAAAACACCATACTTCAGTTTTAAAGGCTTAGGCAAGACTACACCAGAAGATGTAATGACGGAGCCCAGTGCTTGCTCTGTGTCCAGATTCGAGAGAACATTCGCAGCTGAGCTCCTGAGCTGGTGACAGGACTAAAACCCTGTCACTGCTCTCCAGGTGCCGGTAGCATCCCCAGCCACTTACTGTGGTAACCAGCTCCTACTTAGTCTTCCAGATTGTCTTTATGAAACCTTGATTAATGATCCCGATGTGAAACGTTTAGCCATCTTGGAAAAAACTTCACTGCCTGCAGGACCTTGTAACGACTCTATCTGTCCTTTGTTTTTCCTTAATCTTGAAATAGGAATGTCGCGGTGCACAGAAAAAATCTCATCAATTAAAGCTAACATTTATTGAACACTTACCAAATGCCAATCCCTTTTCACGTCATTTTGTATTTATTAACTGATTCGATCCTTGTAACTGAGTAAGTGCTATTATTTTCCAGAGATATTTGGCACAGGAAATTAAGTGGCTTCAGCGACATCACACATCCAGCCACATGTGGCCTGTTGTAAAAATAAGTTCTTCTGATTATCCTAGTACAAAGGAAATTATTATTTGTGTTTCCACTTTAGGAAAGGGATATTTTGAGAGTGAAATGACGTTTCTTCCTCTGATACCTGTCTGCATTTAAAGTTTGAGACCAGGAGTTCTTGGTCTACTTCATGCTCTTGCACTTGGAATGGAACTAGGTGCTTTAGGGACCTAATACTTGATTCTAATATTTCAGAATGTCTTTTCTCTTCTTGGCATTTCACCTACGTGTAAAATTGTGGGTGCACACTCTAGAAATTTTGGGATGAAAATGGTTTTTCTCTGCACTCTCCTTTCACTGCCAAGTGTCTAGCTCCAAATCAAGCCTATTTGAACTGAATTAAGAGCATGACTTAAAAATCAGTCTTTTTACAGAGTAGAGGGACACTTGGCCGAGAAAAACACAGTGTAGTCAGAAGCCTCCCAAATGGAGGGGAAATGCACTTTTTTTCCTGGAAAGAGCTAAACAAGTGTTTTAACTGACCATTATTATCAGTGGTCTAGGGTTGCATTTTAACCTCCTTGGGCCACTCACATTGTAAACAAAACAGTTTATTCCAAATAAACCTATACTATATTTACTTTGCCTTTCAGGGGGAAAATGATTCCATCTGATCTTGAAAGAAGAATCCTTGAAGTCAAACAAAAAGTAAGTTTTTGTAGGGATCTTACCTAACCCATAACAAGCTGAGAATCTGTATTTCATTTCTAACCAGACTCACTTGGGTTTTATTTATTTATTTATTTTTGGGGTACCAGGGATTGAACTTGGATCCTTGCACTTGCGAGGCAGGTGCTAGAACCACTGAGCTAAACCCCCGGCCCTGGGTTTTATTTTTATAAAGAACCTGCATTACTCAGTTTTCCCACCACTGGGATGCAATGCCTGACTCCCACAACTTAAAGGAGGAGGAGGTTATTTGGCTCACGGTTGTGAGGGTTCAGTTCATTAAATGGTGCGGCCCAAGAGCCTGGCAGCGAAAAGCTGCTCACCCCATGGCACCAAGGAAGCAGAGAGTGAGAAGAGAGGAGTCAGCAACGAGAGAACAGCCTTCTAGTCACACCCAGTGACTCAGCTCTTCTAACCAGGCCCCACCTCCTGACAGCACATCCATCTGTGAACTCATCAGCAGATTAATCCACTCATGAGTATAGTGCCCTGTGATCCATTCACCTTCCCAAGTCCCTAAACATGCACGACTTTTGGAGGACATTTTGGATCTAAATCAAAGCAGGGTCCAAATTTCAAATCTCCCAGCCCTAAAGAGAATATGAAATTCTCCATCCAGTCGTTATTTGTTTCTCTTTGTTACGTACAGGGTCTAAAGAAAAGATTTTAGACTTGTATATGTTTTAGAAAAAATTAAGTTAGCGGGCCAGGGATTTAGCTCAGTGGTTCCAACGCCTGCCTCACAAGTGCAAGGTCCCAAGTTCGACCCCGGTACTGGAAAAAAAAAAAAAAGATTAAGTTATTTGTCCCCTAATATGCTGAGGGTGCTCATTGAGCCAGCACACGTTTGAAGATCACTTTCATAGGTGGAAAACACCAGAATGTTCATGCAGCGTGTGAGTTATAATTGTACGATTATTTAAAAGGACCAGTTTTTTCTGCCTAAACATATCTGAGATGATTGATTCTCCACACATCTAATTGTGTAGGCAGCAATTTAGAACTCTTTTAGAAGCAGTAAATTTCGAAGACTCACCAAAGATTCCCACATAGCTCGGGAAAGTCATTCACGTCTTGGAATGGTTTGCAAGTCAGAGAGTCTGTTTTTAAAATTCTGTGTACCTGTTAGTAAATCTGATCTATAGTTCCCAGTTTAGCAATATCCATATGCGTTTTGTTATTATAAACTTAGGAATAATTGCTTTCTTTTCCCCTTACAACCTGGTTCTTGTACCAGAACTGTGCCTTGACATAAACCACAAGATTAAACCTTTGCTGCCACCTAAAGACTGACTCTGTAACATCGTGTTCTGTGAAGGGGACAGACACAGTCACTGTGGACTGAGTGATTAGGCTGATTCTATTTATGACACTCTTCTGCCTTCTCCCAACCACAGCCTACTGTTTCAATCAATCTTCATTTGGTCATGGTCAGCAGGACTGAGGACTACTCAGATGGATCATTTGGGGGAGTGGATATTGATTCATACCAGTCTCCAGCATGATGATACCACTTCTGATGGTTCCAAACATACAAACGTGTGGTGGGGGAAGATTTCCATTGCTTCTGATCAGCTTATTAAAAGAAGCCTTGCACTCCTGTTTACATCTCGTTTGTGTAGGGATTTGTTCCTTTCCTTGTGAGTGCCACAGCTGGAACCACTGTATATGGAGCATTTGACCCTCTGTTATCTGTGGCTGACATTTGCAAAAAGTACAAGATCTGGATGCACGTAGATGTAAGTATCCCTTACCGAATGCCCACAAAAGTGTCCTGGTATGTCCTTCATCCGGGGCTTGTGGAATACAATTTCTTTTCTCTCTCTCTTTCCCCTTTTTTACTGTAGTATCTTCAGAATGGTGATACTTAAGCTTCTCAAGATTTGAGAGGCAAATGAACACACAGCTCACATGTTTACAGCACTTGCTGGAAGCAGCCTGGGGCTGATTGTGCCTTGAGGTTCCCAGAGGGAGAGTATTCTTTTTCTGTGACCAGTGCTTGAGCTGAGGGCTCAGTTTTCAATCCCTGAAATGTCCTTGGATGGATGCAGCCTACACATGGCCACAAATATGCAGATCTGTCTTCCTGATGGGCAGGAGCATCACAAGTTTGAGCCCTACTGGGCAAGTTAACAACTTAGCAAGATCTTGTCTCAAAATTAAAATTTTAAAAATGGCTGGGGATGTAGCTCAGCACAAAGGGTCGAGGTTCAGTGCCCGGCACACCTAGAAGGGGAGTGTGTGAAGGGCTTTGCATTTAGATAGAAATCCAGAGGATAAAAACTCAGGCTTTAGTTAGATATTCACGTAATTAGAGGGGAAACCTAAATTCACAACTTCCTAGGAAATATGGACTACCAAATTCCTTTTTTTAGCTTGGTCAACTGAGAAGCTAAATTATATTTGAGATGCTTTGATGCAAGGCTTAGTCACACTAAAAATTAATAGAGGTATGCCATTTTCAGAGGAAAACACCGACACTTTACTTAGAGGGATGGACTGAAGGGATTTAAGTTAAGATCAGCAGATCACTCAAAGTATGGTTTGAAGATCAGCTGCCATCTCTAAGTCGTTTGCTGCTGACCTGTGGTGAGGTAGAGAGTTTGTGCCAACAACCATCACTCACCGTAAGCCATCACAACCTAAGCACAGTGTTTGGATCGGCTGATTTATTTTTCATGGAAAGATTTCCCCAGTGAAGGAAGCCGTGGTTGATCGGTATTCCAGTACAGGCAGGAGCTCTGCCATGTGAGCCACACTTTCAGCAGCACTGGCCCGATCCTTCCGACTTGCAACGTGAAAGCTCTTTATGGTCCCTAGTCCATCTTCTCCACATAAACTGTGGCGACCATGGGGTTTCTCATTCTGAGAACCCAGACTTCACCCGGACTAACAGTGGAAGTGATAGGGTAGGGGAGGATCTTTCTCCAACTCATAGACCGAGGAAATGTGCCCTGGGTTGGCTCCTTAGACCTGAATAATAGGGGACAGAACTTGAGCTCTTAGAATGATCCTCACCTTGACCATTGTGGTCTGGCAGCAGAAGAAGGTTGCCTGAGGTCCGGCAGATCGGGCTGACCCTGAGATTTATCACTCTGGAAGACACCACCACATGGAAATGAAAACCTGCTGCCTTTCCCCTTGTTTGATCTTCTTTTTCAGGCCGCTTGGGGTGGGGGATTACTGATGTCCCAGAAACACAAGTGGAAGCTGAGCGGAGTGGAGAGGTACCTGCATGTTTCTTGTTAACAATGTAAGGTGTTGCAAGCTAAGTGAGAAAAGCAAATGATGTTCCATTTCCAGGAAGGCTTGTGATGCAAGTGGGCCTGCTCTGCCCTGTGCTTTGAGCCTAGCTTTGTGTGATGTCGCACTCAGGGGTATTATGTGTAAAATGCCAAAGTCTCAAATCCCTCATCGGGTGAGCCAGGCAGAATGTCCCTCAGAAACAGGGCTTCACCTGAGGTCTATTCCTGGGATCTCTGCACTAACCACCAAAACTGTTTAAAACCCACAGGCAGTCCACATTTTTCTAGGGAGAATATCTGTAGCTTTCATGCTATCTAAAGGATCTTATCCACTCCTTTGATGAATTCAATACATAATTTTTCATAGCACATGAGCATCTCGTAATTTATCAATGTTGGAAGTTCAGGTTTGGGATTTAATACAGTCAGTTAGCTTACAGTCAGACGTATTCGTGATAACATCATCCTGTGGTTTCTTTCCCATAGCCTTTTCCTGACAGAGCTCTGACTGATGCTGGAAAATAGCTTTTATTTAGAGCCTAATCAGTAGACCTTTTAGAAAAAGCTGCAAAAAATAAAGGAAGTACTATTTGATTAGCATAAAGCATGTTCAGGTCCGAGGGAGGAAGTGCAGGCTCTTCTTCTGGGCCACAGCAGGGCGGCCGGAGTTCCCTTCCCAAGGTGGCATCAAGTAGGTCTGCCACAGTGAGCTCCAGTGCTCCAGCCGCCGAGCAAGTGCAGACTCATCAGGGCTGCCAGATGCCCACGTGCCCTGCCAAGTGGTCAGACGCTGCCCAGGAAAAGCTTCCCACTGGCTCTGCCTGGAGACATCCTGGCGCACAGTCTCTGTTCCAGGACAAGGGACAGACGGGCTGACAGCCTCTGGAGCACCTGTTAGCATTGACCATGGAGGGTGCCGGGGCAGAGGGAGTGGGCAGAGTATTCTCTGTGACACCCAGGCCGGCTCACATGCAGAGAGCGATGAGTGTGCACGGAAGGGGTGGGGTTGATGCGATGGAGCCAAGGACACTATGCCGGATTAGTGGAAAGGAAGCTTGGAAGAGTCAGGACAGGTGAGCTGTGCCCCGTGTCAAAGGTCACTGTCGTTGGCTGTGGTGGCCAGGCAGAGTCTGGCCTGGGGACAGCTGGGTTAAGACACAAGAGCTGTCTGTGCCCAGGTTGCAGGCCCCACTTAGGTGTGGGGGGCTGAGGGCAAGTGGGTCTCCATCCCAGGGTCAGCCAGCTCTAGGCCTCTGCCCCTGGTCCTCTGGTCTTCTCCTAGGCCTGAAACCTTTCTTTCGTGAAGGCTTCAGCAAGAGGCAGTGGTTCAAACAGGAGAAACAACAGAGAGAGAAAGGGGAGGGAGGAAGGAAAGGAGAGAGGTAGAAAGAGATAGGTAGATGATAGATAGATAGGGGGACTTGGGAGGCACCTGCTCAAATGATCAGAGCAAAAATTAAATTCATGGATTGGGGGTTAGGGGTGTATCTCAGTGACAAGCACTTGCCTAGCATTCTTGAGGCCCTGAGCCTTGGATTTGATCCCCATCACCATACACACACACACACACACACACACACACATCACATACACACACACACACGCACGCGTGCATGCGCAGTTAAATTCATGACCTTTCAAGAGGCACCTTCTCTCCTGAAGTTTCTTTCTGACTGGCACAAACTGTGAGCTTCTGCTCTTTTATCTTCAGTGCCACCTGTGGCCACAGGCGCTACAGACCCTGGAGCCTCCTCCGCCCAAAAGCTCACTAAATTACCTCCCTTGGACCTGAGAAGAATAAACATGCATGCACACGCTCTGCTGTGCTATCTGAGACCCAGAGCTCAGCATGCACACCGAGGGACACGCAGTCCACTGTGGTCCTGTCACTGCAGTTCTTGGCAGTGCACTATAACTAAATCTACCAAGTGCAATGGCCAGATGAAGCCCTAGAAATGAGGGCTGATGGTGTTCTGCTCGGCACTGGGCCTTCCTCGGCTGCCCCAGTAACCCCATCTTGCCAGCTTCTCAACACAAAGCACTTTCTTTGGTGCATAGGGTTGTAGGGCTGCCGGACACTGCTGGAGCATAATGTGCACAGGCTTAGCTGAGGAACGGCTGTGTCCCGCTTGGGCGAATGACTTTTTTCCAAATACTGCAAACCAAAGTTTAGGATTTATTCTAAAAGTGAAGAAAGTCCACAGTCAATTCTTGTCCCTAAATTCAAAGGTTCCTAGGGAGTTGCAGGGGATTCCCAAATGCCCTCCTCACGATAAAATGTCAAAGCACCCAAGCCCTGCGTGGCATCTTCTTTGAAAACCAACCAGATTCTCAGGAGATGACTCTTTGTTGCCACTAGCCCTCGCAGAATGCTAGAGCTGTCGTCACCGGCAGGGTGTGCCCAGAACCTGGTAGTCCAGAGGGGGTCGCACATGGCACACCCGCTCTTCCTAGCCCATCCAGGGCAGCCCTCTGCTGTGTTACACTCTCTGGGCTGGAAGGCTCCAGGCTTGAGGTCCTCGAGTAGCTGCTGTTGCTTTATCAGTGGGCCTCATTCCCACCCGATAGCCAGGGGACAGACGCATTCCCATCACTTCCCCTCTGTCGCAGCCAAGCCACGGCACCCGGCACTGTGTGGGCACCAAGACCAACGTGAGGTGAAGCCCATCTTGCAGGAGTGTGGAATCTAGTGGGGAAGGCCAACAGCTAACAGCTGCTTCAAATTCGAGGCAGTGAAAGTAAAGGCTCAAGGAAGCAAACAAGCTGATTGGAGAGCAAGGAGGAAGGAATGGTTGTCCTGAACAGCGTGACTACAGGGAGCTGTCACCACGAAGGCAGTGGAGTCTAATCAGCATCATCAGATGAGAGTGTTGAGGCTGAAGAGCAGAGACACCGACACAGGGTCTGAAGGTGCACAGGGTCCTTGGAGAAGCTTGAGATGAATGTGGGAGGAGGATGAAGCGGTTGGTGGTCGTGGTGAGGGGACAGGAGGTCTTGTCCAGGGAGTCTCAGCTGAGGACCTACCACAGCACCGAGTTGAATCATGGGGTGCACTGCCATGCACCAAAGACCCTGAGCTGGGGAGCAAGCCTGTGTGAGCCACAGTGATGGGCAGAATATTGTGCTCCTCTGGAGAATTTTGGCTCTAGCAGCCCAGGTTCGAGCAGAGTGGTGTCTCTCTGTGTTCAGAAAGATGACAGCGGGTTACACAGGAGATGGGAGCCAGGACCAATGGGAAGCTGAGTCACACCTGTCCGTCCAGGTACAGGAGGGGAGAGCAGCTAAGGCTGTGCCAGAGGGGCCGGGAGGGAGGTGAGTGGCTGGCCCAGGAGATGGAAAATAGAGCAGCAAGGCGTGGCGTCGGGAGAGACAGGAGCCAGCCCGACCCTGGCCTGGGGGCTGCACGCCCTGGGGAAGACGGTGCCCAGGATGTGGCAGAGAAGAGCTGGGTCTGAGAGGATGGGCGGGGTGAGTGAGCAAGCTCACTTGGTCTCATCTGAGCTGCAGATAAGGGCACAGAGCAAGCCTCACAACAGCCCCCGGGGGAATCGGCTCATTCCCACTTACGGAAAGCTACCAAACCACATAGCTGAATTCCATAGCAGAGCATTGCTGATGAACCTGGGGCTGTTTTTCATAAATTGCCAACATTTCTCAAACAAACCAAGACCAGTCATCAGATCATTCTGCCAGTGTTTTGACCTCTTTGTGAGAGATCCTTATGCCTCTGAGACAAAAGCAAGACAGAGGATTCAGTGGCAGGTGGAGGCAGGCCTTCGAAGCTTTGACCCGAAAGAGACAGACAGGCATAGAAATAAACACCCACAATCACAGGGCCATAGGACGGCTGTGTTGCTGTCCTGCCTGGTGTCCTTAGTAACACAGCTGCATTCCTCAGGACCGGACAGAGCGATTGGACATCATAGAGCGGCGGAGTCTCCCAGCCCAAAGACCTGTTCGAGTGTCAGGGACAGAACCAGTAGCTCATGCTCACTGTGTGCTAGGTACAGTCAGACTGTTTACTACTTCCTCCTTTTATGGATGAGGACATCAAGAGAGGTTAAATACCTCGCTGAAGGTCACTCAGCTAGGCAGTGATGGATGTCCATGTAAACCCATACCGTCTGGCTCCTGAGTAGCTGCCTCTTTAGTAGCCACTATTACTGCTTCAGAGCCCCAGTTTCTTGATTCCTGCATGGTTCTATAGAGATATTTTCTTAATAAGAACTTTCTGTAACCCAGTTCTGTGATTTAACAGTCTCTCCAAGGGTAGTAATCCTGTGATTTCCCAGGTCCAGTCCTCCACCTATTTCTGAATTCACTCCTCTGTGTGTCCAGTAGCCAGTGTCAGAACCAGAGAAAGACCAAAGGGTGAGCTGGACTATTCATTGGCTCAGATAAGATCCCCAGGCCAGTAAGTGTCTGACTGGCTGGCTGACACCTGCCATTCATCAAATGGGTGGATGGGATCTTTTCCGGCTTCTCATTTCTTCCAAGGTCCTCACACCGGAGAGGTGGGAGCAGGGTGAGCTCAGGTCCACGGTTCAGCTGGGGCAAGGACAGCAATCCAGGACACTGTGGAGAGAGCTGCCGTGTGTTGTTCTGCTACTTTCCTTCCTGCTGTGGGTTGGTTTATACCAAGGTCACACTCATGATTCTCCCCCTCAGAGATCCCTTAGTCTGCTAGAAGACCCAGTACAGAGTCTCACCCTGCTTAATGGATGTGGGATTCAGGGTGGGAGCAGCTGCTTTCCTTGGGAATCAGAGGAAGAGAGGTGGGATCAGCCTAATGAGTGAGGAGAGAAATTGAGGGAAGTTCAATGAGGCTGCAGAGATGTAATTCAAGATCTACAGTCTTGACCAGGCACGGCAGCACAAGCCTGTGATCCCTAGGAGGCTGAGACAGAAGGATTGCAATTTTGAGCCCAGCCTGAGCAACTTAGTGAGACCCTGTGTCAAATGAAAAAGGGCTTGGGATGTAGCTCAGTGTGAGGGGCCTGAGTTCAATCCCTGGTACTGCAATGAGGTGGAGGGGGGAGAGAAAGGGGGGGATTCAGACTTGTCAAGTAGCATAAATCCTCAAGCTCTGCATGACTGTTGTGTGAGCTGCAGTTACTGATGAGAGCACATGGTGTTCTTCAGGTGTGTGAGGACACAATTGGAAACCTCTGCCGGAGAAGCCATGGGGCAGCCCCTTCTTGGTCTGGAAAACTAGGTCTGGGTTAGGAAAGAGGTGGAAATAGGAGACTAGCTAGAAGCTTTTCTGGAAGAATACATTTGAGAAATCTGGTCGCCAGTGGAAAAAGAGGAAAGAGGAAAACAGAGCAGTGGACTGAGCTCCCTCTGGGCTCCGGGCCACTGCAATGGCATCAGGAGCAGGGACAGTGGGAATGTGTGATGTGCTTCTTTCGCTGCCCAGTGCTCTGTGCATCCGTGCCCAAAATCAGGACCCTGAGCTCGGTGACCCCAGGCACTCTCGAGGGGTGTTTGACCACCATGGAGGCAGAAACATGCTTCCACTGGAGCTTGGGGGGACGAGACCCACTGGGGATGCATACCCCAGCCCACCATCTCTGCACAAAGAGAAGCTCCCCATCTGAGAGTCGAGTCTGCCTCGTGCTTTGGAAGAGTGGTGGCCCCCAGAGCATGAGAAACAGGGCCAACGAACCGCGGCTCTGTCACCCTGTGTAGAACCTTAGCAGTCTGAGCCCAGTGCGGAGTGCCGTCCTCTTACATGGCTTGTCTATTTCAGGGCCAACTCTGTGACATGGAATCCACACAAGATGATGGGTGTCCCCTTGCAGTGCTCGGCTCTCCTGGTTAGAGAAGAGGTACGTCTTTCCCAATTCTGCCCAGTCCTTGGCCGAAGCTCACTGTCTGCACTTGACCTTCTCTAAGTGTCAAGGTCACCAGGCCTTTGCTCAGGTTGCTCACCTTCCCCAGAACACCTGTCTGGAGGGTGAGGGTCAGGCTTGGGAAATCTCCACTTGCAGAACAAGACTTGGACCATTATAATCCCATGTTTCCTTCTATTATAATCACTGTCCCACCATCCGAGGTCCTTCGCTTACTCTCTTAAAAAACTAAATTACCAGTGCTCTTCTGGAATATGAGGAGACATAGTTTTTTGCCATAAGAAAAATGTAACTTTTCCTTAAGAAAAAATATGCGTGATCTAGGGTAAAGATTAGTGTTGGGATTCAGATGTGTACATGTGTATATGTGAGTGCATCTTATATAGCGCCCGACTCTTTTCCATTGTCTTCAATATTTAATGCCGAGTTCGGAATGTAAAGCATCTGTGTGTGTGTTAACTGGCGAAGTAGAGAATAAGCAATGATCACTTTCATTCTAGGAGGCTCTGTGCTTTCCTCTGTGGATGCTCAGTACACCAGGGACTTCTGGTCTCCCTCCCACGCTGCCAGGCTGAGTCCCATCTCCTCACTGCTACATTTATTTTGTTGATAAGACCCAAAATAAGGAGCTACACTTATCCCTATTAAATGTTTTCTTGTTAGAGTTAATGAAGCAACTCAATTTAAAGGGGCTGTGAAACATTTATCATTACATACCTTGAAAAAAATCTTTTTTTCCTGATTGCAAAGTTAACACATAACTATTTTAGGAAATTTGGGCAGGATAGAAAATAATAAATAAATTTAGAGTCACCCAAAATTCTGTCATTTAGAGATAAATGTTATCACTGTTTTTAAATATTTTCCCACAGTTTTTCTATTTTTTATTTAAATGAGTTTTATATATTTAAAATAAAATTGTTATCCTCCATGTCAGTGGTGGCAACCGCATGGCACATGTGTTGTTTTTCTTTCAAGACAAAAGATGTTAATGTGTGAGTTGCTTTTTCTAAACTAAGACTTCAGTATTTAGGTTTAATTACAGTGTTGGCACTTTATGATAAGTAAGTAGGTTTTTAGTGGCAGTTTGGGCCCTCATCTGTAAAAGGTTCGCCATCGCTAATCTATGTCATATACACATGTTTATTCTTTTTCCTATTTAACACTGTATTGTGAGCATTATATTCCAAAACATGATTTTTAGTGGCCTCATATCCATAGTGGCTTGATAAAACCCTTAAACATGTGTCTTTGATCAAATTTCTGGGGTTTTTTCTTAAAGTAGATTAGAGGGTATCATAAGCATGGTGTTAGTGCCTTTATCAAATGAATAAAAATCCTGACACAAAAGTGAACACAGACTCCCCCCAAGCGAGATGAATACACTGATGAGTATCCTTTCAGACTGGTTTTCCATCCAGTTGGATGTATTATCATCTACATCAGCTAATGCAATCCTCAGCTGTACTGCTAGAAAGGAAAAAATAAATTTTTGTTATGTAGATTTTCGCCAGCTGTTTGACAGTGGCTCCCAGCATGTCACTGAGACCAAAAGAGCAATGTGAGCCAGATGAAAACAGGCAGATTTGGAGCTGCGTAGACAGCTGGATTCCCGAGAGCTGCCAAATGGTCATTTCAGGGCACCCAGGATCCAGCCTCATGGCTTCGTGCCTAACCCTGTCCCATTCAAAATAGTCTTTGATTGTTTGTGTAAAACATAGAAGCTAATTAATGTTTCCAATGAGAAGAAGCTGGAGGATAGACTAAACGTGTAGTGACAGAATCAAAATACAAACTAAGTTTTACAGCAAGCCACACCCAGACAGAGAAGTTGCTCATCGGGGCCATGGCCGAGCTGTGCTCTTGGGTTCGAGGACAGGTGACCCTACTGGCACTGACAGGGCAGCCTTGCTTAAGTGTAGCTGACTGCACTGGTGACCAGGACTTAGGACTCTCTAGGTTGTGTTCTGTAAGGTCAACAAGGAGTCAGAAATGCCATTCAGAAACCATGAACGAGATAGAACAAGAGAGTTTAAGTATGAGGGAGGGAGGTGGAAATCACCTTTCTCTGGTTAAACTACGCCTCTACAGCTTTGCTTAGCTCAGTGCCAAAGAATGTATTGACTCCCCAACAAGGGAGAATTCAAACAGCCCAAGGAATAATTGGTCAGCATTTAAGATGGATGGTTGGGAGAACTAAAGATTTTTAATCCACTTTTAACAGTTTAAGGGACTCTCAAGCGGAAGAGATTTATGTTTTTTGTTGTTGTTTTCCCCCCAAGGATTAGGGACAGGGAGTTGGATTAGTAATACTGGGTGGTGCAGATTTGGTGGTGAAATCAGAACACAGCGAAGAAGATTTCAGGTCTGACTAGGAGACAATAAAGAAACACTTTAAAAAGTAAGCTGTCAGATACTACTAGGAAGACATTAGTCATCAGAGGAAGTGAGTAAATAGAGGTTGGACAACCACTTATTAGTAAGGGTACAGAAAGGATTCCTTCATTGGGTAGAAACAGTGAGGTCTACAAACTCATCCAAATCCGAGAGTATATGACACTCTGACAGTATTTCTTTTTGTGGGCCCAGTGAATAACAGCATCCCATAATATGACAATAAATATTCTGGGAGAAGAGAGTTCTTAGTTTATAAAAGGTCGAAATCAGTGGATTAGAGTTTGAAATAAGCTTCAGCATTTTGGGGATTAAGCCTTTAATATGCTGATATGCATTCCAAGATCTCAAAAAGGTGACTTACAATTTCCTACACTTACTTGAGCATGAGAATTTCATTATGTGCAGCAACTATTAATATGTTTAGAATAGTTTGGGACCTGATGGTCTCTATAACTTTTTCCTGGCCCAGAACCAGGGTCGTATCTTCCCAAGGCTTCCTGTATGAAAAGCAACGACACTTTTCTTCATCCCTTTATCCTGTGGTGAGACTGGCACTGTCCAGGTCTTTAGAGGTCACACACTCTGAATTATTTTCCTGTCCTAGGAGAGCTTGTCTGATCCTGGTGCCATTCTGCACTTTCTGATGTGGTCTCGCTCGGCGTTCATTATGACCTTGCAGAGCTAGGGGAAGAAGAGTTTTGTGACCATGAAATAAAATGAAAACCCAGTTGTAATTTCCACATCATATTATCCTGCTAGTGAATTTTCTTTTTCAAATTTAGTACCTTTCTACTGCTCTAATGCAAAAACACTGTATTTAATTTTTCTTATTCTGAAAAATAACTTTATGGATTCTATTGAATGTTAAGCCTAAATTACAAAGTAGAGTCCAGTTCTACTCTATACCTTTGGGACACCCCATCTTTCAAAAGCCTGTTAAAATTTTACTTGCATTGCACTGTGGTTTAGTTTGGGTAATGTTTTAAAAGTGTCCTTACTTCTAACTTCAACTGAGTGATCAACATTTTAGTCTTTTCTTCTCTTCTCATGAGTCATAAGAGAAACAAAAACCAAATGCCAAAGCTTTTATAAAACTACAATTACACAGTAGATAACAAAAGAGTCAGAGGCTTCCAGTAGTTCGTGACAAATTGAAACATGGTGGGGTTTCTGGTGAACAGACTGATGATGCTATTTTAGTCAAAAAGCATGATTCATTCCCATTCTTTGGAATAGGTCAATCACCTTGCCACCCATTTTCATACTAGGGTTATGGAGCCCGGCAGATACACGGCCACTGAATGCTGACCATGATTCATGGTCAGTGAAGCTTTCCTTTGCAACTTCCATAAGTAACTGAGTATAAAAGTATAGTATGGAAGCCTGACTCCTGAGAGAATATGAGAAAGAGTATTTAAATTCCTCTTAGATAATAGGAAACAGGGAGATAGATCTTTTGGAAGTCGAAGGGAACCAAGACATGGAGGGAAGTGGGAGAAGGGAATGTAAAAAGGATTGGGATGTGTTATATATGTGTACCAACTCCCCACAGTGAGTGTATTCATTATATACTGCAAACATGTAGTACTAAAAAAAGAATTGCAATGCTTTTTTATTTCCGCATATAAAAATGATAGCAATTAACTGTGTGAAAAGCTAGGGTTTTCAAAGACAGCTTAAACTCTAATAGCTACGTGGTAAAGTTTTTGTACTAGATATGAGTGGAGGCACTAGAGGAACCAAACTAATAGTATTTTATAGAACTGGAGAGTTTCTGAAATACTTTCAACAAAACTAGAATATTGGGATGTCCTCTTAAAGAATGTCATACTCTGTGATTTTTATTTATTTTTATTTTTACATATGCCTTTTCTTAAAAGGAAGCAGAAAAGTGCAAGTATGTCCTTGTTAACCTCTGGTGAGTTTCAATTCTGAGCCAGTCAGCCACAGAGTTAGCAAGATAAATTAATTACCGCAGCCTGGACAGTCCTGTCTAGAAACTAGCCCCATCTGTTTTTTGCCATTTGATTCTTACTGATTTACAGTGTCTTTGGGGAGGGGGTTCTTCATAATTCTCAACACAATAGCCAGTAGAGTTTCCCACAGTTTCTCTTTTTTCTTTTTTAGGGGTTGATGCAGAGTTGCAACCAGATGCATGCTTCCTACCTCTTTCAGCAAGACAAACACTACGACCTGTCCTATGACACTGGGGACAAGGCCCTGCAGTGCGGACGCCATGTTGATGTTTTTAAATTGTGGCTCATGTGGAGGGCAAAGGTGAGCATGCATCAGCCAGAAGGGAGGGGCTCTCTGATGGCATGTTAAAAAAATTTGATTACTAAATTAAAAATCAGTCAGGTTCAGCTTCTTGAATCCTGTGTCTACATTCCTGCTTTCCACATGCGTAAGGGTATAATCAGACCTGGGCTGCTGTTGTTGTTGCTGTTGTTTTCTTGTAAGCCCAGGAATTTCTAATGCCCATATGTAGAAAACAAATCCATTCTGCTGTGTATGGCAGATTACCTTGATTTTTCAGAGGTATTTCTCATTGCTGTCATTATTGTTGCTTGGTCTGTTTCATCCTGGACTGTTGGTTTTCTTTCAGTGATTGATGTCTGATTAGATAAATGCAACGTGAAAGTATGTTTGGAGACCAGAAAAATGCAAACACGTCTACTATGAGAACTTATTTTTGATGTTTTAAGAGATAACCTTTCATGGTAAAGCTCTTTTTAGAACTTCAGAAATACTTAACTACCTCCTTTTGTATGAGTTCAGTTTACCTCAGAGTTTACCTGAGGTGATCTCTCCTCTCCCAGCAAAGCACACTCTGTAACCAATGGTGTACCACACTGGCTGGGTCTCACTGCAGCCTCCCACCAGGATATATTTATGTTAAATGTAAGCAGGCAGCAGAGGTAAACGATTTGATTTTTCATTTCGACTGGATTCCCAATTTACAAACCAGTGACTTCCGCCTGGTTTCATGTTTCTGCAGGCAATAGCCAGAGCCACCAGTACATGCTGTGGAAACCCAAGTCCAGGGAAACTAAGGAAGGGAGAGGTGAAGGTGGCCGCCTGCTCTGAGGGTGTGTGGAGTAGAGGCCACACATTTAGCTATTTGCTTAGGCAGCAGCATGCGCAGAGAGCTAACAGGCTTAAGCCAGTAGGAGCCAGTGGGTAGGTTGGTCAGCAGGAGTGAGGCACCGGGTGAGGCCAGCCACTGGCTTCTTCCTGGGATCTGTGTGGAGGCAGGGATCCTGTGCACCCGGGAATCCCACGTACTGTGCTTTGTGAAGCTTCTCCAAGTAAACAATTGCCTTGCGTGGTTCGGAGAGGCAGAGAGGTTACCAAGCCAAGCAGGGATTTGAGAGAGAAGCAGTGCGGTCCGCATGGATCTCGTGGAGTCGTCTATAAGTGCGTTCTGCCCGAAGAAGCAATTAGAGGGAAGATGGTCTTTCCTGATGCAGACGCAACCCAGACGGCGTGGGGCTGGCTGCGCTGCGTGGCTCTCGCGCAAGTCTCCACGCCGGTGTTTGCGGTGTTTGCTCCGACTGAAGGTTTCGGAGCACTGCGAGGTGTTAGGCGGCTGCACAGGATGCGGCGCTTCCACGATGGCCAGCAGGGGCCAGCGCTCAGGCTCCGCCCGCCTCTTCCCAAAGTTGAGGGCCTGACAAGGACTGGCACCTCATGAGGCTCCTCCCGCTGGGCAGACATTTTCACTTGGAAAGAAAGCCGGGGATAGGAACTGTTGCTCTATTCCCAACCTGTTTTAAAATAAGCAAGTTTTATCCAGTGGATTGGTGGAAATTATAAAGTTACAGACCCAAGTACCAGACAGTAAGCTGAGGAAAGCTTGATCTCTAAACAATGTGCAAGAGCTCTTTTGCTTCAGGGATCATTCTTTTTGCCTCTTTTCCTGTGGTGTTTTTATTAAGATGCTGATTGTTAGCCCTATTTACACAAAAGTGTTTTCATGGCACCCTAGTTCCTGCTGCTCCAGTTCCTTCCGGGCCTCCTCTCTAGCATGGGGCTGCCTGTTGGTTCTTAGAAAAATAACTTGGGGGGCATCAGGCGCAACTCAAAGTGCAAGACCAGGCGAAGAGCAAACTAAAGGCAAAGGCACTGTTTTTAGATTACCGGAATAGTTACTGAAAGAGGGGAGTGCAAAAGAAAGAGGAAAAAAAAGAAAAATCACAGCTGCTACATTACTTGCAAGCACATATTCTTTTTAATTTCTTATGCAAAACTTCAACTACCTAGACATCTAAAAGGCAGAATTTTCCATTTGGTTTTCAGCCTAAAGCTATGTTTTTCTACAGAATGAAATGATAGTTATTAAAGTAAAAAGCTCAGTCCTACAAGCTACGTCAAAGGTAGGCAGAATTACCCCATCAAAAGCTCCCTGGCCAGGACGACCATGGTAGAAGAACCTTGGCAGTGTGCCTGTGGTGGCCTGTCTCCCATCCCCATGGAAGAGGAAACCATCAGAAAAAGAATACTGAAGAGGAGAGACAATAGAGCAGTGGGAGAGTGTGCCTAGGGAATGAAGTGTTCCAGTTAATCTGTCTCCTCCTTACCAGGATAAACCACATGGAAAGTGAAGCTGAAGTGTAAACTATCATTCTTCAAAGCTCTTAGTGACAAATGGAGCTAATGCCCCAATGGGAGCCATCACATTAAGCCCAAGATAATTTCATTAGTGCCAATCAGTGCAAAAATGAGCCTCCTGATGTGAGATGCTAAGAGGTGTTCTACATACCCATAATAAATGCAAGCCTGTTCTTACTAAGCAGGCCTTCGTATCATCACACCTTATTATAGAATCCAAGGAGTTGATTTTCCATGTTGACAAATTTTCTCAGTGGTAAAAACTCAGCAGCAGACATAGTAAATAAACAAGCCTTAAAATTATTCCCCCATTTTTAGGTCTGCAACAAGGGATTAAAATGTCATGGTAAATCTTCATGTTTGTATGTGGTTATACAAATTGGCAGGTTTTCTTGTAATTTCCTGTGATTGGCCTCTCTAATTGGTAACAAAGAGACTGGCAAATGGTTGAGGACAAGAAAAACAGGAAAAATTATGAAGAGAAATTGATGTTTGGCATCTTTTGCAGAGTGACTGTTCACTTTCTCTCTAAAATATTAATGAATTTTAATAGGTAGCTATTGTGTATCTGTTATTGTGCCTAGTGCTGAGCGGGATGTGATAAGAATGCTACAGCTTTCCAGCCAGGATAAGATAAATGCAGAAATAAATCCCTGTCATCTGAGATAGACTAACTGGTCATAAAAAGATGCAGATGCAAGATGGAGAATGAGAGAGCTCATTCATAGTTTGAGGATCAAGAAAGCTTTATCCAGAGAGGACCTCTGAGATGGGGCTTAGACAGGACAGTAGAATAAATAGGGTCTCAAGCAGTAGAGCTGGGAGAAGGGCATTGCAGAGAGAGGGCAGGCGGGCGCTCAGGAGCACAGCCTGAGCAGATGCAGAGCCTACGCTGACTGGGGCGAGGAGGGAACTCCAGTCCATGTGGAGAGCAGGGACCTGAGCTAGGGTGGCAGCAGTGAAACGGAGGTAGCAGCAGGGCAGCCAGCAGCTACGTGAGAAGCAGCATCTTAGGACAGGTGCATTGGTCTGTAGGAAAAGTGGATCCTTGGTACATGAGCCACTCCCTCCTGTGGGATTCTTCACACCCAGAGCCTATTTTCAGTGGACCCGAGCTGCCAGGTCAGGCCAAACGAACCCCTTAGCACCCAAATGCTGACAGGGCTGTGGCCTTGCTGCTGGCCTGAGTTTTCAGCTGCAGCCCAAGCCCTTGGTAGGAGTCATCAGCTTCCTTGAGCCAATCAGCTGGGACAGCAGTCATCAAAGAAATGAATTTCGGGACCCACTAGAGTTCTCCAGTGCAGCTTAAACATGCTTCAGATGTTAGGGACCCGGCCCCAGGGGGGATGCCCCATTCTGTGAGGTGACCAGGATGAGTGAACAGGAGAAGTGGCCATCATGTTCCTATGCTGCAGTGGCTACTGGTAGGCAAGTTCTCAGCACTCCCTGGATGAGCATAGCTGTTTTCCCAAGCTCTCATCAGAATTCGGTAAATGCTGAAGGAGAGCAGAGGAGAGCCATTTTGAGAAGTGAGTCCTGAAATCAGTCCCACGGCTCTGGCCTAAGGCTGCTGTGTTGTTTTTCATAAGTACAGAGCCAGGGCTTCCAAAGCTGGAAACTAAAAGACCTCTGTGTCCATAGTCAACCGTCAGACATGAGTCCTGTGTCCGTCACCTAAGAAGGAGGCTGAGGAGCCTGGCAGAGTGACAGCTCACAAAGCTCTTGTGCTGCCTGAGTTCATTCGCCTGTCAGCTGACACCCAGGTTTACTTTCCCCATTTGTTCTGAACAACAGTGGGGTCTGGGAGGGGAAAATTATAGGATGGGCAGGGCCCAAACAGACCTCCTGGGGGGCCCTGACTAGGTTTCCTATCGCTCGGCCTTCCTGCTATTAACGACTCCATGATTACGTCTGTGAACTGCAGAGGCAAATTTTCCCCTTGAGTAATCAAAATGATTGCCTGAGGAGTGGAGGCTTAGGAAGAAAAGGAGTCAGCTGTGGAGAACAGTAATGAAAGGGAGCAAAAGCACCTGAGGGGAAGAGCATTAAAGGGGAAATAGTGCCAGAAAAGCCTCTGGCAACAGACTCGGGTGGGGAAAGTCCCAGGACCGCGTGGACAGAGAAGGGCAGAGTGGCCACTGGTGCCCATAGGGCTCACTGCCGCGCCAAGGGTCCTGCCCACACCTCAGCCCAGCTGACGACCTGTGTTCTTCCCTCCACAGGGCACTACTGGGTTCGAAGCACATATTGATAAGTGTCTGGAGCTGGCAGAGTATTTATACAACATCATAAAAAACCGAGAAGGATATGAGATGGTGTTCGATGGGAAGGTACGTACTCAGGTTTCTGCAGTCCTCAAAAGCTGAGTCACTTCCAGTCCTTACCACTGCTGTTTTCTGGTGTAAATAAGATGCTGTCCAGCTGAGTGGGACCACAGCAGAGGGGAAGCAGTGGATGACAGGGTAGCACTTCTAAGTTAGAGTGAAGTTGAAATCCGCATGTAAGTCTAGCAGTCGGGAAAGCCAGGCACTCCAAAGGCAATTGCTGATTTAAAAACACAAGTTGCATTCTGAACCTGAGGAATTAATAGATTTTAAATGTCCTTGAAATTTTCAACCTTGGCAGTTCAAGCTGGTTCTGAATCTTACTCTCCTCTGTGCAGCCTCAGCACACAAATGTCTGCTTCTGGTATGTACCACCCAGTCTGCGTGCTCTGGAGGACAATGAGGAGAGAATGAGTCGCCTCTCAAAGGTGGGTGCTGCCAGCTCCTTCGGGCCTTTCACATGCGTACTCTTCGTATGATATATACATGTCTTAGGAGAAATCCACCTTGGCTTCTCAGCCCACTCCCCACTGTGGATGACAACAGAGCAGGAAATACAGAGCCAATAAAGCCAGGCTTCTTGCAGCTCTACTTGCTCACTTTTTGAGAGACTTTATGGTGTCTTAAAATTAGAGTTAGACAATGATCTTTACTTACTGGTATTCAGAAAGCAGCTAGAACTTTTGTTGGAAGTTGGCCAATTCTCCAAGCAAAACTGGTGCTCGATTTTGGTGCAAGCACAAAACAGACTCCAAGTGTCAGGAAGGGTTAGAAAGCAGAGCTGTTGCTGACCCTCTCGAGATGCAGGGGCAAAGCTGCTGTGGGTCTTTAGAACCAAGCAACCCTAGAAGATAGCAGGGCAAGGGGCCACCATAATAACAGCTGCCATGTAGAGGGTGCTCTGTGCCAGGCTAAACTTTCAATGGCTTTTAGATCATTTAAATTCCCTCGGTGCCTGATTGGGGTGATGAACAGGGGAAGAGCAGCTTTCCCAAAACTAGGCCGAAAGTCTGACTGCAGAGCCTGAGAGAGTGAGCTTTAAATTCTACCCCTGTCAGTAAGACACTTTTTATCTGTAATCCTTGGCAGCTCCCCACATTCAACATGGGTAAACCACGGCTTACGACACACAGCAAAGGGAGATACTGTAAATGCAGGGTCCGTCTCTCTACGTGCTATAGGAAAGGAAAACTAGGGGTGATGATGAATTGGATCTCAAGGGGTTGGGGTTTGGTTTGGGGTGTCTTCACATACCGTAAAAGACAGATCCTTGTCCAGTCACTGCCAGTAACTGCTGGGAGCAGGGCCGGCCGTCTTCCCCACTACCGAGGAGCCAGGGATATTCGCCGACCTTTCAGACTTTATTCCCATCTGTACAAAGGCAAGAATAAGATTTTATATAGATTGAAAGCCCTCCAAACAAGCTGATAAATATTAGTACCTGCCTGTAAGCAGCCCAGACTCAAACTCCTCCTCAGGAGGAAACTTAATGCCTAGCTAAGGTCTTCTAAGCCAGGTCTCCTAACTAGAAGAGTGGTTCACAACCCTGGTTGTGCTGTAGGGCCATCTGAAATTTTATGTAAACAGGGTGACCGTATCTTACCCTGACAGTCTGATCTGACTGCTCTTGGATGGATCTGGGAATACTTCTGAAAGCTCTGCAGGTTCCTGCAGTGTGCAGTGCAGGCTGAGAAGCCCCAACCTGAGAACAAATGGAAGGAAATTTCTAGAACCTGGATCTGTGTTGCACATGTCTGGGGTGGGAGTGGGAGTGGTTGTGTCTGAAATTTGGGTAAATTGGTTCTTTCCAGTATATCAAGCCCAGGAGGTGAGAGAGAAGAAGTAGGGGTCACATTGGACAACAGATAGCAGCAAGTTACAAAAAAAAAAAAAAAGGTTGGGGGTCTAACAGTCATTTGAGAGAAAAACGCTCATTTTTCACCCGGAAACTGTATGGAGCTGCTTCTGCATAGTGTAAATTGTCTTAATAATGACTGACTTTATTTATTTAGTTACAAATTAAATGTCTCCATTCTTACTGCTCTTCAGTTCTTGAATCCACCTGCTAAGCAGGCAGACTCACAGAGGAGTGAGACTTGTTTCATTTGTTAAATCAGCTCACTGTCACTGGGCTGAGGGATGGGCCAAGATGGGAATATACAGAAAAAGTATCTTTGTTTCTGAGAAAAAGTCCAATTCCGAGGTCCCTGCATTTAAATACAATTTCTCAAATGCTTCTTAGATTTGAGCACATCACATAACCTGTGCTGGTGATGGAGATTATTTCCCGAGGACAGCAGTTAGAATGTGTAACTGTAGACTATGTTTCTGCTGTTGGTAATTCAAATTGAAAGTCTCTGAGGATTGCAAAATGAAGTCTGATCTTTCTCTTTTCTCTGACTGTGTTTTCATTACTGTACTATAGAGAATTCAGTGTAGATCTGAACATGAAAATCAAACCAAATGAACTATCAAGGTTACCTTTCACTTGTCTGGGTCCATAGTATTTCTGAGTTTCAGTAAAGTTCCTTATTAAGTATGACATACTTCCAGAGAGATAAGAGCTGAGCTACAATGATCTCCACTGTCTGTTACAATAATAAATGCTGTCTGTGGCTATTTGCATTTAAATTTAAATCAATCAGAATTAAATTCAACTAAAATTTCAGTTCTTCAGCCACACTCACCATATTACAAGAACCCAGCCATGATTCCAAACGGCTGGAACAGAAGCATCATCCCTGCTACTCTCTTAGTGCTGACACAGGTCCTGAATGAGAGGCGATGCAGAGGCTTCTGGGCAGTGTGTGGGAAGCAAGAGAATTCATGCCTGGGAATGGGATTTGGGATACATCAGGCACTCAAAATCTTTTTTAAGCTAAAGTACTATCGTAGTGTTTACAGGCTACCATGACAAACTACTAAAGATTGAGTGTTATAAACAGCAGAAATTTATTTGTCACCGTTCTGGAGGCCAGGAAGTCCCAGATCAAGATGCTGGCAGAGTCCATGTCCCTGACATCAGTAGATGGACATTTTACTCACTGTGTCTCCATATGGCAGAAGGAGGGCCCAGGAGCTCTCTGGGGTCTGATCTTGAGGCAGTAATGCCATTTATGAAGATGTAGCTTTCCAAAGACCCCAACTTCAAACGCCATCATACCGAGAGTGAATTTGAGGAGACACCAACATGCAGTCTATAGCAGGTGTTTTTTGCATACTCCACAGTAAGGAGGGGAAACAACATTTAGGAAAGCCAGTAGTGGGCCTTTTCGCAGCATGCACTGGCTTGGGGTTGGACATCCAGAGTACAGAAATGGTCATTACTAATCAAGCAGTGACATCTTCAGGAGATAAAGATGACAGTCTGGTGGGTGAGTTTCCTGCTGCCCAGGCAGAGCTGTGAGTTTGCAGGTGATACACTGCCATTGGGCAGAGTAGATGACAGACGCCTCAGGCCCTGTCGGGACAAGGCTACGGGACACACCTCAGACAGGGAAGGGCGGCAGGTAGGATCTGGGCAGGTGTTTCTCAAACGAGGATCAAAAGGCTGATGTCTCATCACCTCTGTGTCTCCGGTTCTTCTCTTCATCTTCTTCCTCTTCTGTTGTTTGGTTGGTTGGTTTGGTTTGGTTGTTTTTTAATGCTAGGATTGAACCCCAGCGTCTCACCAGTAGTAGGCAAGCACTGTACCACTGAGCTACACTCCCAGCCCCGCCCTGTTATTTTAATTTTAACTATTCTTGATCACTATCTGCATCTCTTCACTCAGCTTTTATAATTCTGCATAGATTGACAACTTTCAAAAGGTTAGTGACGGATTTAATAGTAAATTGATAAGGAAGTAGTGTGGCCTCATATTTAAAATCTGCTGAGTCAATGGGGAATTTAATTAGTGAGACTTTACCATTTCAAGATGCCTTATTTATGCCTATTTTGTGTTCTCATTTTTCAAACACTTCTCAGGTTTCCAAGATACAGAAACGAAAAGGCTTTTTAACACACAACAAAAATTTCTATGATAGCTTCTAAGGTGGTTTCATAATGACTGTGAGCCTTTCTAGGGAAACAAATATGGATTTGAATTTAGGAATACTTTCTTGGTTATTTTTTTCTAAGGGATTGAAAAGCAAATGGCACAAAGGAGAAAATAATCCCCTAAATCTTTTAAGGCAGCCCCAAAGATCTCATATTGATTAGATCTTTAGTGATTTCTTCAACATGCAGCCCTTCTTTCTAAACTGGCTTTTGTTATTCAGAAAACCAAGAAATGAACCCCCAGAAATCTAGTAACAGAAGAAAACTCTATGCCTATTTATCAGAATAGACAGAATTTTATTTTCCTTTTAAACTTACCACAAGTGAATAACAGTGAAGTAGATATTTCCTGGTCCAGCTAATTTTTGTTCATCAGCATTTTCTGGAAGGAACCAAAAGTCATACATACTTAGACAGCTGTGACTCCTGGCATTTCAGCTGGCTTCCGGAATAGGGGGATTGGGTTTCACTTCATGTCAAAATCTGTTTGGGATGTAGCTGTTAACCCTAATCTTTTGACCTTTGATTTCCATCCATCCAAAAAGTTAGAGATGGTTGTCCTTAATAACTAGTGTCACTCATACGTATGTGGGTTTGCTTGCTTGCCCTGAAAATGAACTCAGACTTCAAGTCACTTAAGTAAATCATTATTATTGTTTTATCAGTACAGTGATCAAGGGTGACTTGTACAAATAAAAGTAAGGAAAGGTTATATCATTTTCCCCTAAATCTCTGCAGCCATGTGGAAATAAAATTCTTTTGCTAATTTATGCCCAGAAACACACTGACTTGCCATGCCTTGTAGCACAAAGCAATAAATTCCATGTCCTTTGGCTAGAATACTCTGTAGATCTATTTTCAGAACCTAGTCCCAAACTCAGGATACTTGAATTTTTTTATATTTATTCCCTGGGATGGACCCAGTGTCCTGCATACTTCCTTAATCCTTCAAGTGAAAGAAGATTTCACCCAACAGAAGCATTTCTCTTTACACCAACTCCCCATGGGACAAGGAAGGGGCAGGAAGAACATAAAACTCAACGATCTAGAGTGAGATCATCTCAGCACTGGAATCCTCACCACCTTCACTTTTAGGTGAGGAAACTATCCTCCAAATGTAAAGTGGAGATAAAGTGCGTTGGCTTTGTCTGGTAACCAGCAAGTGCTTGGACCTCATTTGGAACTTACTGATTTTGTGCATTGACTACTCTGAAGATTAAAACCACATTGTGAAGTAATACTTACTTAGTATTAATATTAATTAGTTCATATTCAGAAGTCACCTGTTCATAACGTGAATCTAACTGCCATTCATTTCGATCCAACTGTCCTTCGTTAAGCTGAATCCAGTTGTGATCTAAGGCATGGTCCCCATCATCAGCTAAGTTTCTGACCATGTACACCTCAAGTAACTCTAAAGTTTCTCTGACTTCTGTCATTCCTTGCTATGTATTTGCAGCAGTGAACCTGAAAGATCAGATGGTGACAAGACCCTGTGGCATGTATATGTCTGTAGCTCTAGCTACTGGGGTGTGCAGTGCAGGGGTGGCTGGGGAGGATCACAGGTTTGAGACCTGCTTGGGCAACTTAGCAAAACCCTGTCTGAAAATTTTGAAAATTTTTATAGAGGACTAAGGAGATAGCTCAGTGCTGGTGTGCTTGCCTAGCAAACCCAAGGCCCTGTGTTCAATCTCCAGCACTGAAAACAACAACAACAAGAAAATCACATGTTATATGTGCAAACTCCAATGGTAAATATATGTGAACAGATCATGTATTGAGTTAGATACAATGTACATGCGTGCCACTTCCTAGGTAGCTGCTGCTATTATTCTACTCTTCATAGTCGATTAGAACTAAGAAAGCCCTCAACATGTACCTGGCACTGTGCTGGGAAGCATAAAAAGTAAAAGACACCAAATATGCCCTCCAGGACCTTACAGTTGAGTTAGAGAGAGAAAATGCATTTACTCCTCAATAAGAGGCCAACAGGAAATTCACATCTAAGCAGAATCTGTGGGTTAGGATCATGTCATTACAGCTCAGAAGAAAGACACTAATGATTTGGAGAAAGCAGAAAAAGCTTTACAGCAGCTGTGGGAGTGTGGCAAAGTCCTGTAGTGTGCAGATGTGAACTGGAGGAGAAAGGATTCTAAGCAAAGAGAACCAGTGTGATGTGGTGAGATGGGTGACAAGTGTGAAGGGCTGAAAACACGGATGGCACGGGATATCCAAGGGCATTTAATAAGTTAGTCTTGTCAGAGCTGAAGACTGATGTTGGTGAGCAGTGAAGATGGGTCCTCAAAGCTGGACGACAGAGCCCTTTGTGCCGAGCTGGAGAGCTTAAGCTTAACTTCATACCCCATGAGTAACTGCTAAGGCTCCAGTGAGCAGTCGCATCAGGCCTGAGAATCTTGTCTATTGTACACTTCTGTATGTCAGGTTCTTGTGAGTTCAGATTTTTACTCCAGCCGATTCTTCATCTTATTAAGCAGGATCTTTCAAAATGTATTATAAACAGAGGCAATGCAAAAGGAGAATAAAAAGAAACTGGAAAAGTTTAGGGTCTTAACAAAGTTGCCAAAAGTCTATTATCTTCATTCGTCACGTGATACTGAGGCTTGCCTGGGTAACAATTCTGTAAACTATGTTTTATTTCCAATAATTCTATATTTTCTGGAAGAAAAACTCCAGTAGTTGTATTGCTAAGTCATTTAGCCTTGGGACCAATAGTAGATTCTTCTCATTTTCCCAGAACACTATCTAGAAAATCAGTGCCAAGATAGCAAATGCCTAATAGCTCACCATTACTCTTCTTACCACCTTTCTGGTCTTGAATATTTTGAACTTTTCTGCTCCTTTTATCCCATGAAAACTGGAAGGCAGTTCCTTCAGTGGCAAATAAATATAGCTCTGTTCGGTTAAAAACTGAAAATGCTGCTCACTGTCGCTAGGTCGGTGGCCCCGAGAGAAACAGCTCTGATAAGTCTCCCCACAGGTCGCCCCCGTGATTAAAGCCAGAATGATGGAGTTCGGGACCACGATGGTCAGCTACCAGCCATTAGGAGACAAGGTCAACTTCTTCCGCATGGTCGTCTCAAACCCTGCAGCTACCCACCAAGACATTGATTTCCTGATTGAAGAAATAGAGCGCCTTGGACAAGATTTGTCATAACCTAGGTCACCAAGCCACTTCGATTCCCTAGGTAGACAGTTAAGCTGTCCTGAGCTGTGTGAGTGTATCTGTAGTTTGTTCCAAAGTGAATCTATTTCCATATTGTGGTGTCAGAGTAGAATACTGTTTAAAAATCAGAAAAAAAAAATTGCTCCTTTTAAAATTCCTTTCTTAAGTTTAGAATACCTCTCTAGAAATTCGTGACAACCACCTGTGTTCTAGTCAATAAGGAAAAGCTTAAAATTGTTATAAATACTTCCTTTACTTTTAATATAGTGTGCAAGTCAAACTTTATTTTCTTCTCAGAGTAGTAGGACTGAACAGTGCCAAAGTGCCCCTGAATCATGAAAGCTTCTTTGGGTGCCGTGAAAAGGGAAAAGTAAATAGAAAATATATGTTGACAGTAAAAACTCTTGCCTTTTTCATAGTATTAGAAAAATTTCTAATTTACCTATAGTAACATTTCAAAGCTATTTAAATACATATAATTTTACAAAAGGAAAATATATATATTAAAAAGAAATCCTATTTTGTAACATATAGATTTTTATTTTATATGGGTTATGCAAACTGCAGGGGCCGAAATAAAACCTAAGCCAGTTTTGTTTCTCTTTCTTTTACTGGAGGCACAATAAAACACTTAGCAAAGTTATTTTGACACATAAGCCCACAAAATTTCTTAAGGTATAATTCCTTCTTTCAGTACCTGTTATGGCTTAATCACATCTCTAAAGTTATTATTTCAAAATGAACACAAAAGAATACTGCAGATTGGTAAAAATGATTTACCAGAACTACAATTAATAGTCCCTTCCCATTAAAATTTTCGTCCTCATTTCTCCCTAGCAGGCCCACCCTGGGAGCATAAGAGGCCAGGCTTTGTCTTAGATTAGATTAGGGAAGCGTCTGTATTCTGCTCTCCAGTTTGACCTGTTTGGAACAGAAGGCTGGTGCTGGCTTTTGAGGCATCTTCCCAAACAGTATTCCTTTACTGGGTCATTTGGATTAATTAGAAAAAATAAAAATAAAACCTAATCAGCCCGAGCAAAGAAGAATGAAACACATCCCCAGAATGTGACCAGCCCAGAATGTTAAACTCACCTATGTGAGATGGGATCTCTGTGTGACAATGATGACATCGCCCTGGGTACCATATTGCTACTGTCCAGAAAGGAGTCATTTACTTCCTGGATGACTGCTTGCCCCCTTCCCTCACCATTTCTCCACACAAAAGCCTCTCCTGGCAGACTCTCTGTCACTGGGATGCCAAAAATTAACTAATATCCCCTTCCTTCATGAAGTGAGCCTCCTCACTCTAGTTTTGAGATATCCTAAGACCTTCTTTGATCTATCTCCCACCAAGGCTCTGAGTGACCAGAATATACAGCAATGTTTAGAATCCAAGACACTATTTTAAAATCATCTTTCCTTCCCTGCAAACCTGATGGAGAGGCATGAAGTAACAGAAGCTACTGCAGATATTTATGGGGCCACACATTGTCAGACTCTAAATGCTAACAAGAGAGCTGCAGTGTTTTATGTGCAGACCCCAGATACATATCCTGAAACATTCTACCTTTTCTATGGACAGGACAGTTCAGTAGGCAGAAAGACTCCAGGTACAGAAGAAGGAAGACTTTGTCCTTTAGCAGATAAAAATGTCCCGTAATATAAGCATAGGATGCAACCACCTGAAATCATGAGTTTGCCTCTACCTTATTTCTCCCAGGTTATATACAAAAACACTATCATCGATGTAAATGTGGCTTTGGACTCTTTGTCTGGGAAGTAATGGGTTCCCTTTGGCAATTAGGAAGAGGGTTAGGCTGCAGACTTTCATGAAGGAACAGCCTCCCATTTTAGGCTTTCTCTAACAGAGGCAACCCTTTCCTTTCTGGAAAGGGCCGCTGAGAATTAAGCACACAGTTGCCATCCATCCTGAGCCTCCAACCATTTGCTGGGAACCTAGGAAAATCCTCACCAACCGCAGCCCAGAGAAAGAGGCAAACAGAATCCCAGCAGGTCCCAGTAGTTTAATAAATATTCTTTAAGGTGGATCTGTAATTCACTCTAGAGAAGAAGGGAGGGAGGGAGGGAGAGAGGGAGGGGAAAAGGAACCAAAGAAAGAAGGAAAAGAGAGGGAGACGGTTTTGAACATCAGCCCAAATTCCCAATGCCAAGGGTCTTTATGTGAGACCATTCTTTATGCATTTTAGGAACGTTTGGTTTTAGCTTTAATCAGAACTAACATGGCCATTTTCATTTATGCAGCAATATCATGTTTATTATTTGTAATACTTGAACAAAGTATAGTATACCTTTATCTGAGAACTATAAATGATATATACTTAGTGTAGTGTCATAGGATGTGAGGGAAGATAAGGAAAACAATTTTGTGTGTGACTGTTTTGCCATTATTATGTTGATAGTACTGTCTTGTCACCTCAAATTGGGGTTGTGCACTTTACATCTGAACTGTACAGTGTTGCAATGAACGTGTGTTGCTGTAACAGCTTGTACAATGTATTATTGGTATGTCTTCTCTGTGGTAGCTCTATTGAACTTTGATGTTTTGAGAACTTCATTTGCCTCTCTCTCTCTCTCTCTCTGTCTCTCTCTCTCCTCCAAACTATGCCCTCCACATCAGCTCTAGTAGAGAACATGCTCTCAGCTAACCCCCTCCTGACAGTTGCCTTTGAGAATTGTGTGATTTCACAAAATACAAGGTGACCGCTACTTTGTCTCTGAGAAACCAATTTTGGAGTGTTATAAATTGCCAACATTGCAGGTGTTGGCTCTGCTGGGCCCTGGAGTAGGTGCCACGCCTTAGAATATGGACAGCGAATGCACAGGTGTAAATACAGTGGCAGGACATAAATCAAGGGCCCTCAAACTGGGTGTCATCTTGCATGCGCTCTCCTGTTTCCAAGTGCTAAATGCAAACACCGTGTGATTATCAGCTGTGTGTGCCGAATACTCTTCCCAACTGGTGTTTCTGAACAGTGTCAACATTGTCCCAGCATCACTCCATTACTAAAGACAGAAAAACATTAAATGAAATATACAAGTGTGTGTCAGCCTGTTCTTACCAAATATAAACTTGTGTATGATCAAAGTATTTTTTGTGTGTTGTCTCTAAACCCAAATAAACGTGTGAATGTGGACAGATCTCGGGCTGTGGGTGCTTATTTCTGGGCCTGGCATGTGACAGAACTCATTTTCAAGGAGTGGCCTGAGTTCCAGGCCCTTTCCTGGTCTCGGAGCTCAGAGTGACTTTGGTCTTCCGCAGTTGCCCTCTTCTGGTGGAAGATGTTGTGTCACTCTGGTTTCTCCTTCACTCCGATCCAATCTCTCTTTTTCATTTATTAAGGAAAATTCCAAATACATAAAAAGTGGGGAAATAGAATAAACCATGTTGCTTTCACCCACCTTCAACACTTACTGACTTGGAGCCTGAACTTTGTTTCACCCACTTCCTCCCTGGCACCACATCATCTCTATATGAACCTGTGAAAGACAAGAACTCCTACAGCTTATTCTCAGTACCAGTGCCAGAGGTGAAGCCATACGGGTATCAGATGCCCAGTTGGGGGTCTCATTTCCTTCATTGTCGGTGCCGTCGCACAACCCGTGGCTCATGGCCTGTGCCAGGGAAGCAGCTTGCCTTGGCAGCTGGGGATCCGACTCAGACACAGTACATGCGGTGCACACCTGGGCTACGTGTACGCTGCTGTGTGTTTTCACTGTGGTGAGCGTGTGGTTCAGGCCCTGTGGGGTGCAAGTTTGGGAGCCCTTGTATTTCAAGGGCTTTTTTCCTAAGCTGCTAAAAGCAGGCCTAAGACGGATGGCCAGGTTAAAAATATGAAAGCATTGGAATTCAACAGGTTAACCTATAAATATCAACAAAGAGACAGAATAGAGTTAGCTGAGATGCTCTTCAGACCCAGGCATCCCCGAAAGGTCTGATGTGCCCTTAAAATCATTGTCATTCTGGAGAAGAGAGATACTGTTTAGCAGATGTGGGAGGAGGGAAGGACAACAAGGGGAAAGATGACAAGCTAATTCCAGTACCACTGCTTAGGCAGAACCAGCACAATTGCCAAATGAAGAGACTTTGCTGCAAATGCCTGCGTTTGTTCACATTATTCCCTGGGCCTCCGGAGAACTTCCAGTCCCTCTCTGACTTGGGAAGCAGCATCTCATGAGTGATAAGAGCACTAACTCTAGAGGTATGGATTCCCGGGCTCAAATCCCAGTCCCACCGCTGGGCAGCCGGGAGAGGCGGAGCACGCAGCCTGCCTCCTGGACTCTGTTCTCCAGGGTTAAAACAGTCAAGTTCCGAGGAGTTTTTTGGGTGAGTTAAATGAACTGTATGTAGAGCACTCGTTGTGGCTCTTGGCACCCAGTGAGAGCTCAAGAAATCTTATTTTTGCAGTGTTGATACCAAGCATACGTAAGTTTCAAGTTGCGCCTGAAACACTCGCCGTCGCTGAACTCCCGGACTCCCCCTCGCGGTCAGTAGCGCCTGCTGTGCGCCTACCTCGCAACAGACGGGAAAAGTCATCTTACCCTCCCATCTCTACGACCCTCCCCACTCCTCCCCTCCAACACGAGGCCCCAGCAGGGCTCTCTGTGGCCTTTAGTGCTGGCCTACAGGAAGAATGTGCGCCGTGCTGTCAGTGGGTCTTCCCCCGTGGCTGGTGTGCTGCTGGCCACATCCACTAACGCCCCTCGGCTTCCTCAGATGAGGATGAAGGGGTGGATCCCCGGCTCCGAAGCGTAATGTAGGTAGATGATGGCCAGAGATTATAACCTGGAAGGGCCCTTAGGCACAGTAATTAATTCCACTAACACTTACGCAGGGTTACCTCAAGCCAGATGCTTTCATGTATTCATCTATCACTTCCACTTTACAGATGGGAAAACTGAGGCTCTATGCTGAGTCATCTTCTAAAGTCAACCAGTGAATACATAGTGCAAACAGCACTTTTTGATAAGTTAATATGTATGGTAATGCTTTGGCACCCTGTCTAACCATTCCAGGCTTTCTGGCTTCATCTAGTCTCCCTCATATATGCCTTCCACCTCCTCTGTGACAACTCTTCCCCAGGTCCAGCACCATGTGGGCCTTTAGCCTTGCTGCCCCAGAATTTCCTGCACTGCCTCTTCATCCCACCTGGGCCTGGACCCTCTGCCCCCACCTTGCTGAGACCTTCCCCGATGACCTGGTGTCTGGGAGATAGCTTCATGTCTCTCATACCAACACATTTTGTTTTGATAATAGTAACTTTTTCATAATTTATTTTTCACAAATTCTATGATGCCACAGTTGTTTAGATGACAATCCAAACATTTGCCCATCTGTAAAAGCTGTGATGATTAAAATCAGTAAATTTCCTCTACAATTATCACAGTAAGAAAATTCACGCGAGTTTATGACAGAGTTCAGGACTCGCCGTCCCCAAATACGGCACCTTGACATTTGAAGAAACAGGAGACGCAGGAAAAGTCTTTCTGACACTCTTCCCACCTTTCCTCCTGAAGCAGATCGTAGAAACCAGAAGGCTTCCCCTCATCACTTCTTTGTGCTGAGCCATAAAGCTAAGCTGACCTTCCCCTGCAGTGAGTCGTAAGAGTCTTATTCTAGAAGCACTCTCTTTATGAGCCAGAAGGAAGGGACATCCTCCTCTCTGAGGACATAGGTGCTCAGAAGAACCCGAACAAGCAGACTTGCTAGGCCCCTCATCATCACCGTTAGATCACACTCTTCGGTTCTCCAATCAGACTTCTGCGTGATGTCCATCAAAATACAACTTAGGGGGGTCATTTCCGAAAACTCCCATAGAACTTTAATTAAAAATAAATTCATACATTTTTCTCTTGCTAATTTGTCTCTCATTATAGGTACCTCAGCCATAAAACTTGCAATAGGTGAGAAATCTGCCCTATGTAGGCATAAGAACAGCCTCCCCCTTTGTTACAACCTCGTATGCAATCGCTAAAGGTCTTTCAATAGTGTCCTCTAAACTAACTCTCTGATCACCTCCAACTCAATTAGAGCTTAACATTTTTAAGCTTCACTTTACACTTGATCTTAGCCAAAAGGCCGAGAAGTGATTTAAGCTTCACTTTAACTTGAGCTTCTTATGTTCCATTTCTTTGAATTAGGTTTTTTAATTTTGCCATTTGAGCTGGCTTAAAGAACGCTCCAATTAGATAACTACACCTAGCTCTAAACTTCGACTCAAAGAAATGTTCTATTTAACTCCATTTTTACCATCTCAGACAACCCTGCCAGAATTTACATGAACAGGGCTGGCAAAGCAGTCTTGCTCTTTTAATTTATTTGCCCACAAACACGGTATATGTATGTATATATCTAAGGGGTGATCCAAAATATGGTGTGTGTTTAAATAAATTTATTTCAGTAGGACATATTGCCATTAATCCCCCTGAGAAATACTTCCCCTCACTTTGAAGACACTTGTCCCATCATTCTTGCCACTTTCTGAAGCATTGCAGGGAATCCTCCTTTCTGTCTTTATGCAGGGTGATCAAAAATGTGGTTAGTTCTACTGCTGAGTGCCATTCAACAGAAATCCTGCCAAGCTTGTGACAGGCTTGTCCTAGTGTGTCCTTATCCACCTTTGTTTTTCTTGTAAAATGTATTATGCCAACGTACGTGAGGTTTTGTTTTAGTTTGGTTTCTTTTTTCTTTTCTTATTTCTTGTTTTTCCCCTGCATTAGGGATTGAACCCAGGGCCTTCACGCTGAGCTACATACCTAGCCCTTCGTTACCTTTACTTTGAGATAGGGTCTCACCGAGTTGCCCAGGCTAGGCTGGAACTTGTACACTTCCTGCCTGGGCCTCCTGGAGTGCTGGGGTTACAGGTGTGCACCATCATGCCCTGCATATATGAGACTCTCCAGATGCTTCTTGCCTGATTTTTTATGTATAAAAGTAAAGGAATTCTGCTTACCATGTTATCATCATTTGAATTACCTGCTCAGTGTTGGTGATTAAACAACAAATCCTAGATATTAATTCTGGAAGCTGGGGGTTCCTCCTCTTGTCGTTTTTGCCTAGAGACATGGTGTTCTATGAACTTCCTTCCCGTGGACGTCATGGCCAGTGAACACAAATCTGACCTAGTGTGCTTTGTGAGTATTAGGGTTTCATGGGAGCCAGCACTTGAAAGGACAGAGTTTGCGACAGCTTGGAAATCCAGGCTCCTTCCATGAGAGGTCAGATCTGTGTGCCCGTGTTTTCATTCCTTTCATAAGCCAGCAGCCTGAGGAGCAGCTGGAGTCAGACTGTCTGGCCTCAGATGCTGGCACTGCTATTTATTAGCTTTGTGGCCCTGAGCAGATCACTTAACCTCTCTGAACCTTAATTCTGTCATCTGTAACACGAGGACAAAAATAACACTTGCCTCACAGGTGATGGTGAGATTCAAATGAGAGAGAAAAAAACGCAATGCTTGGGACATAGTGAATATTCACCTCAGGTCAATCTCCTTTTTATTCTGTGCTGCTGCCTGTATGGACTGGGCTTGGATGCAGATTCTCTGTCCCATGTGAGCTCTTGTAGAGGGGATTGTGTTCTCCTCCACGAGACATAAAGGTCTTAGGCAGAGGCATCTCCCATGGGTTGCCTGTTAATAAGGACAGCAGGCTGGTGCCTGAGGCCACAGTCTCAGCCTCCATGGTGACTGGAATCGACCCAGAGGGATAGGCAGGACAGTTGAGGAGAAAAGAGAGCAAGGGGAGATGAGCAGTTCAGCTGGAATGATTATCTGGTACCTATGTGGAACTCCTTCCCCAGGTGTGTCCTTGCTCAGACAGACAGAGTGAAGTGATGCAGAAGGCAGGCTTTGGCTTCACTGGAATTGCTAATATGGTCACGTGCATTATGGTGACTGGTTCTATTTACACCATGAGAATTAATCACTGGTGCAAACTAATCACTGTTTGCATCCCCCAAATCTCATAAGTAGAGACCTGTGACTACCCGCTGAGATGGTATTAGGAAATGCAGCCCCGGGGAGGAGTTTACTTCATGAAGCTGAAGTGCTCACGAACAGGATTCGTGTCCTCATACAGAGCCCCCAGAGAGATCCCTCAGCCTCTGCTAAAGGAAGCGCAACTGGAAGTCAGCAGTCCACACC